CCTTCCTTATTCATGTTTCTAAAATGTAAAATTTGGCTTTCGGTAGTTTTTCCTGAGCACCCTTAAAGAATGTTTTGATGGCATTTAAATCTCTGGTGCTTTTACTATTTGAGAAAGTCATTGAAATTCTAAATATTTGAAAGTTACCACTAAAGTTGATAACATGGGATAACAGCTTTGTAAGTGTTCAGCCAATGTAAGTGTGCGATAACTAGCCGTGCATATAGTTGTTTAGTTCCTAAATCTTTAAAAACAATTCAGAGAGAGAATTATGTGGTTCAAGAAAAGATTATAGTTATTTTTTCCTAGTGGTTACATAGCCCATTAATTAATTTGAATCCACTTTTAAGACATCTTATAATCTTATGAACTTTATAAGAGTTAACTTAATTTTATATTCTTAAAAAAAATTGCATTTATTTATTTATTTTTTGAGTCAGAGTCTCACTTTGTTGCCCAGGCTAGAGTGAGTGCCATGGTGTCGCCTAGCTATCACGCAACTCAAACTCCTGGGCCTGGACAAAATTGCCTTTTATATATCTATTTAAAATTCTTTTTTTCTTTTCAGTCTGCAGAAGCCCAAGATTATTTTACATAAACCATTATAATCATATAAGCCTAAGATTATAATACTGGTATAATATAATAGTACCAGAATTGGTATATTTTGTGCTTCAGTATGCTTATTGCAGTATTCTAGGCTTTCAAAAAAATTTCCTCATTCTCATTTAAGATGACATTATGGCTGGGTGCGGTGGCTCACACCTGTATATCCTAGCACTCTGGGAGGCCAAGGCGGGAGGATCGCTCTAGTTCAGGAGTTCGAAACCAGCCTGAGCAAGAGCGAGACCCATCTCTACTAAAGGTATAAAGAATTAGCTGGACAACTAAAACATATATAGAAAAAATTAGCCCAGCATGTTGGTGTATGCCTGTAGTCCCAGCTACTCAGGAGGCTGAGGCAGAAAGATTTCTTGAGTCCAGGAGTTTGAGGTTGCTATGAGCTAGGCTGATGCCACGGCACTCTAGCCCAGACAACAGAGTGAGACTGTGTCTCAAAAATAAAAAAACAAGATGACATTAAAGGCTGTTATATAGTTTATTGAATTATAAATAGTCCTACTTTTAGGCTTTTTTTAAAAAGAAGAAAGGGGAAACGTAATTGTCTCCTAAGACATAACCTAGTTAGCAGTGATATAAAGAATATCTTTTTATTTTTTTATTTAATTTTTTTTTTTTGAGACAGAGTCTCGCTTTGTTGCCCAGGCTAGAGTGAGTTCCGTGGCATCAGTCTAGCTCACAGCAACCTCAAACTCTTGGGCTTAAGCAATCCTACTGCCTCAGCCTCCCAAGTAGCTGGGACTACAGGCATGCGCCACCATGCCTGGCATTTTTTTTCTATATATTACTGGCCAATTATTTCTTTCTATTTATAGTAGAGACGAGATTCCACTCTTGCTTAGGCTGGTTTCGAACTCCTGACCTTGAGCAATCCACCCGCCTCGGCCTCCCAGAGTGCTAGGATTACAGGCGTGAGTCACTGCACGCGGCCAAGAATATCTTTTAAAACATTAATGTAGAGATTATATTATGAATTAATAGACTGTGATGATATACAAGATCCTCATAGAGTTCTTATATACTGTTATAAAATATTAATAGGTGTTTGCTAATGTGACTAAGCTATCAGAAAAATAGAAAGAAATTTATAAAAGTTTAGTATTACAAAATTTCATATAGTGTGTATATTTTAAATTTTATAATATGTGACAAATGAAAAAGGCCACCATACTTAGAAAGTTAATATTTGAGTAATTGTACCTATGAAAAAAATTCATTATTAGGCAAATTGTAGGCTTTCTTATAGGTAACTAATATGTAAATGCTCTAAAACTACCCAGAGAATTTTATTGTGAATTTAAAGGATGATAAACCACAATTACTTTGGGGTATTCAGCTTTATTCACTTGAAGGGTTGGTCCAACTTATGTGGATGTAAATTAAATTTAAGAATTAGAGCAAAAACATTATTGATTACATTATTTAATATACTCTGATATTATGTAAAAACATTTGGGCTTTGTAATCGCTTTCTTAAGCCTTAAAGGAACTTTAAAGGCAATGTTTCTGTAGTATATTTAAAGATATAATTGGACTAAAGTATCGTTAAAAGTTGAGAGGGTATGTTTCTCTTATTTAATGAAATTTACTGTATTTTTGTTTTCGTGTAGGATTACCTTATATGAATTCATTCCACAAGGTGAAAATCCGGGTTGTGCATCTTATGGGGATGCTGATGTATCCTTTCCTGGATTTTTAATATCTTTGGTCAAAGAAATGTATTTTCAATAAGTACCTAAACTTCTTAAATTAATTTCCTAAGATTATTTGTTCCTTTTACACTTTAACCAGTGCTTTTTTCACTATCACTAGCCACTAAGATCTTCACTATTACTGTCACTATCAATCTAAGAGAATCCTGGGATTTAGTTTTCCTGATCTTAGAACATTGGTGGGGGTGGGTATGTTGAGTAGGTGCAGATGGCTGGAATAGGAAGCATAGAAATCAAATAATAAAAAAATAGTAGTAGAATTAACTAAAACCCTCTGGTTTCTTTGACCTTGTCTAGAAGTTATCATTTCTGTGTAGTTATTTATATAATGATGAACTTGGATTGATCAGAACGCTGTGACTGACAATCATTCCAAGTATATTTGATCAACAAAGTTAGGGAGAGAAAAAATAACGTGCAGCTGTATGAAGTAACAATATTACAAAATGTGGGTTCATGAAAGAAAGGAAAAATTTGAAAGCCAAAGGGTTAGTAAAAAAGCCTAGGTCGATGTTTCTTCCAGACTGTTCGAAAAACCTAGCAAAACAGGAAAGAGCAAGGACGTTCAGCCGGTCCTTCTTTTAGAAGATTAAGAACGATGTGAGCTCCCAGGAAAGATGGACAAATTAAATGGTTATTCATTTTATTAGATATTCATAGTGAAGAAGTATCAGGATAAGCAGAGGACAGCTTAATACTGCCTACAGGGCTGGCCACCTGTTTGTAAATAAGTTTTATCATATGTTATATATATTGCCATGTGACGCTGAGTAGTTGTACAAACAGCAAAATAGT